ATGAATGAATGAATGAATGAATGAATGAATGAATGAATGAATGAATGAATGTTGTGGTTCTAGACCCTGGTACTGTTGCTGCTGCCCATCTTGACCATGAAACCCTTTTAAAAGTGAATTGAATTCCAATCACAGCCTTTTCTCAATAAAATAAATCATTTGCACTAATTCAGCCTCGACGTCTGTTCCACATACGTATCTTTGTTAATGCAGTCAAGAGTGTGTGTATGTGTGTGTGTCTATGAAGTGCCCAGCAGTAGTGAATCAGTTATGCTTAAGGCACATAGAAATAATTCATTGCTGTGCTCTCAGAGCACAAGAAGAACAGATATCCTGAGTTGAGTGCTGGGCCGGGTTTTTCTTTTTTCTTTCTCTTTTTTTTCTGCCTAAATGTTAGGGTTTGAAAACTGCTAATGTACATGTAGCGTCAGGATCTGAAAGTTATGTCCAATATAAAACAAGGTCATAATAATCTTTATATGGAAGTTGTTTTTATGATCACCAAAATCTAAAACTCTTTTTTTTTCCTCTCTGTTTTAGGATCCATCTTTCCACCTGCACAAAAACGACTGATCGCTCTGAATCCATTTTACCAAAAGGACCAAACTGGATCAGATTTATTCTTCCCCACTGTTTAGTTACTGCCAGTAGCCACGACTGTAAGGACCGACAGGAGACGGAGGCACAGAAGGTGAAAAAGAGGGAAAAGGATAAAGAGAGCAAAGCAGCGTAATTAGTATGACCATGTTTGTGTCACAGCCGCAACCAACGAGAGGCCACTTTTGAAGATGCCACTGCTGTGAACATTACCGGGTGCTAACCTTCGGCACATTTGCATGTGCGTTTATTCAGAAGTACATCTCTTTCAATTTCAAAGGACAGGGATTTGTGTTTGGATGCAGATTTAGCCTTTCATTATGACTCTGCGAGGCGGCTCTGAGAGTGTGTGGCTTGGCTGCCGTGGGGGAGTTTGCTCCAGGGTATTGCTGCTGGCTTGTTATTTCTTGATTGCCTTGGCAGCCAAACCAAAAATGCCAGGCCACACGCACCTCAATTCAATACGCATTGATGGGGACATATCTCTGGGTGGACTGTTTCCAGTGCACGCACGGGGGAACGACGGCAAAGCCTGCGGGGAGCTGAAGAAGGAGAAAGGGATCCATAGGCTAGAGGCCATGCTATTTGCTCTGGATCGGATCAATAACGACAACGAGCTACTGCCTAATATCACTCTGGGGGCGCGTATCCTGGACACGTGCTCTCGAGACACCCATGCTCTGGAGCAGTCGCTGACTTTTGTTCAGGCGCTGATTGAAAAAGACTCCACTGATGTCAAGTGTCTGAGCGGAGGGCCGCCCATCATCACTAAGCCTGAGAGAGTGGTGGGAGTGATCGGTGCGTCGGCCAGCTCCGTGTCCATCATGGTGGCCAACATTTTGCGTCTTTTCAAGGTCAGTTTCTACTAAAAAAAAAACTCTACTTTTATTGATATTTTATGAGCTTTGAAGTACTGCTTGAGAAGTGAGGATATATTTTCGGGGTTGTTTGTCACAGGATTGACTGTGAGAAATGCTAACAGGCTTGGTCGAGCAGCTCAGCTCAGGTGTTTCCAGCAGCTGCGGCAGGTTTCAATATTACAACAATGAGTTGTGGTACTTTTAATTCAATTTTTATATACAATAAACACTTTATTAATGAAACAAAGTGATTAAAATATTACAACTTATTCTGTTGTAGTGTTAAATACGAAGGAATAAATTTCCTAGTGCAATTTAACACTATTCATACCTATATATGTATATATATATTTATCTATGTATATATATTTTTATATTTATATATGTTTATATATATTAATTAAATATTACACACATATATACATATGTAAATATATAAATATATAAATATAAATATACATATGTAAATATATAAACATATATATATATAAATATATATGTATGAATAGTGTCATTTACTTTTCAATGTAGTTTGTCACAGTCCACTCCACCTCAGAATGACCCCATGACCTTATGTGACCACTCACATTTAAGCTGTGGAGGTCAATCAGAGGGGCGGTATTACCCAGCATTCTCCTCGCCTTTCTAATGACCTTTCCATTTTTCCTCGTACGTTTAAATCACATTAGTTTCAGACATATTTCCCACTGTCCGGAAAAATAGGTGCTGATCATTCGGCCATTAGTCTCCTCGCTAATGACATTAGTTCGCCCGAGTCCTCGGCGTTTCCTTCTGCTAATTAATTCAGACAAGCCGTGCATGACACCGCTGCTCTGGATTCACGGCCGCTGCCACGTGGCGTGTGAAATGCTTTGCGTGGTGATGCCAAGCCACCGCGCGTCGCACAAGCAAAGGTATGAGGTCCAAACAAGCAACACATGACAGCATTGTTTTAATAAGTAGCGGCTGCTGACAAACCAAAGTACAGGACACCGACTCACTAATGAGCTGCAGGACGGTGTCACAACATGTTGTCCTTTGTTTTGACTGGTGTGGTATAGAAGCCCATACACTGAGTCACCACGGAGGTACTGCAATGTTGTACCGTCAACAAAGACGTCGCTAATCAGTCTAACAACAAAGGTGACAACACTAACACGGGAGAATGATTCAGTATTTATATGTCTGACGAGAAATACAGTTAGTTTTCTACTTAAACACTAAATATATATATATAAATATATATATAAATATATATTCATATATACCAATATATACATTTATATTTCCCCCCTTCATCTGTAGCCATTTATTTGTACTAGTTTAGAACTGACTATTAACGTTTAGTCGTATTTCTTGTTTTAATCAAATTTGTACATTTATATATGTATACATGTATATGTAATATATCAATTCATCCATTACATTCAGCAATCTCTTGGCCACAAATATTTTTTTTCTGTATGCAGTTTGCATGTTCCAGCTGTGTGGGAGTTTTATCTTAGAGCTCTGGTTTTCCTCCCATGGTGCAAAAACAGACCAGACGAGGTTGCAGTGTGTCATTAATGTAAGGCAGTATCTGCTGTTTATTTTATAAGCCCCGCCCCATAAAAGTTGAATGGATTTTCTTAAAAAAAAAGCCTTATGAAAGTCACAGTGAATTTAAGCTGCAGCTCATCATCACGTCTAATCAAAAGCAATAATAATAAAAAAACAGCCATTAAACTGTTCACACTGTCACTGTCTGCAACAATGACAGACCATAATATACAATGGCTTATGTGACCCCGCTCCTGATTGGTTAACACACCAGGGTGTGACCCCGCCCTCGCTGCTGGATCGGCCCTGTGACATTAAATTAAATAAATCCATGCTGCCCACATGTGGTTCCTCCGGGATTCAAACCCTCTCCCTGCTTCAGAGGCAGGCGTGCTAACCACTGAACCCTCTCTGTGCTTCAGAGGCAGGCAGGCTAACCACTACACTATGGAACCGACAAGAAAGTACTAAGCAGTAACAGATAAAGGGATTATTAATGAGGACTGGGCTACAAGCTGCTGATACATAACTGTTCCTGGAACTTTTGAGATAAATGTAGACAATATTACGCCTCATTAAACCAATACTCGTTAACAAATACTGTGTATTTTCAAACTACGGACTTTCAGATAACAGGCCAAACCAGGAGCTCAAATCATTTTAACTGCAGAAATCCCGATCTTTAATTACTCGACTTTCTCCAGCGCTGGTTAATTTGGCTTTTAGAACGTTGTAGAATTGGAGAGAAGAAGAGAGAAACAAAAACTGAAAAACAAAAGCTGCTCTTTGTTTTGTTCCACACCGACTGATCCTTGAAGGTGGACATCCGTTCTGTTGTCATGCTAAGCTTGATTAACTGCTCAGCAAAAGGCAAACTAGTACAATACTTCACATGACAGTCAACCAGAACAAACACCTCTGCTCTGGTACGGTACGTTTTCAGAGACAAACACTGAGTGAACGGGAAATAACGACCACAAAAAATGCTCTTTTTTAACCACATTAACACACAAAAAAATGCTCTTTTTTAACCACATTAAAAAAAATCATTAGTTCTTTCTGTTGAATAATGCAACACTAATGCTAAGGAATTTTACGTTGTGTAATTTGTAACCAAGCCGTGGTCTGCCTACGAGACTCATGAAAGAGTTGGGTTTTTGGCACAGAGTGAAATACTGACTCAGACCATGACTTTAGTTTTATTAATGTCGTGTTAATAATTTAAATCACATCCGACCACTGATAAAGACACAAGAAAAAACAAGCAGAGGGAGCGCACCACAGGCAGAGTAAAGGTCAGTCGACTCACAAACATCTGAGAATGTCACTACGATACTCCAGGTTCTGCTGAGACAGGACTTCACTAATGTGTTCCTCAGTTCCACACCATACGGCAAATCCTCTGATGATGATTCCACTTTTTTTTCTTTCTTTTTTTTCTCCGTGTTTAATTGAGACGTATTGAGCTGCATCATTTCACACTCAGTGTTCTTGGCAAAAGAAGTTTCACCAGCACAGCGCTGATTCTAAAGAGCTTTTGATGATCCAAAGCAGAAATGTGTTTTTAATGGACAATTGCCTTAAAAGCATCTGCCCCATGGGCTCCAACATCCCCCCCCCCACCCATCCCCCCTGAGACATCTCTGGGCATGACTGACAAATCCCACTGAGGGTTGGAGGAGAATGTTAAAAGATGCTGCCACTTCATTCCGAGCGAGGACGGAGCATACATTTGGAGATGTGGTTGATATAAAGGAACTTTTTAAAACCCTTTGTGACAGAAGATAGCTGACGATAGCTCTGATGTTCTCTGCTGACAAAGACTGGTCACAGAGCCATCCGACCGACTGAACCGCGGCTGGCTACAACGCTACAATCTTAAAAAAAACTTCTCCCTGACATGATGAAAGACTTAAGAGACATGAGGATCAACCTAAAGCTGAGCTGCTGAATAACCATGAGCTGATCCTTAGGGGGCGTCGCTACAGCAACGCCAACAGACTAAAAAGCAGTGAAAAGTAAAGAATAGCATCGCAGCACGTGTGTGTATCCATGCACCTGTGTTACAGAGAAAGAGTGGTAAGAAGTATCTACTAACAGTATTGAACATGCATTATCGGATTTTCCGGACTATAAGTCGCACCTTTTTTTTCATCTAAGAGAGTCGTATTCTCAGAGGGTTATTTTCACCACCGATGTTTTTACACAGAAATTCCATATTTATTTAGATTTAGGATTTAAAGAATGTTTTTACACACATATTTATTTATATTTAGGATTTAAAGACCTTGGTTACAACAGAGTAGAATTACGAAAAAGTCACAACGATGCCAAGGCCATCACAGGACGATGTTCTTCATGGATAACGATGATCAAAGAACTCTGCACCAAAACTAATACATGTATTAACCCTCACCCACCAAAAAAAAAAATTAATTAAATTAAAAAGTCACTTCACTGCTGCTGTGTGTCACTGCAGTGTTTCACACAGGGGTTAAACACAGAGTCATTTCTCCAAGGGGATAATTAGGGTACTGGAATAAATGAATAAATAATTACAACAACAACAAAAACAAAGAAGGTGCAAAATTAACTGACGATTAAAAAAACCACCAAAGGAAGCCATGCTTCTTCAGGTATTTAATGTGTCGGCGTTTTATGCTCAGGTAACTCTCAAAGACAACACGGAACGTGTGAATGCATTCATAACGCTTCGGACTCGATAAGTGAAATGAGTTTTCGTGAATTACATTCACGGTGGAGCGAG